TTCAATGAATAAACATTACTTTTTCAAAGATCTGGTGAATTTATTTATAAGTCGCTACATTTTTGGTGACCCCGACGTGATATTAAAGCCGACGCATTTTAAAGGCTGATGCGGAATAAGTGCCAAGTGATCGTCGTATTTGAAGTCTGCGAAATATTATCATCGCTTGGAAGAATTGCTGGATATTCTGATTTTAAGAGATTCATTCTCCGGATCTTTGAAACATCAGAGGCGGATTAGTCCTTCACGGAAATTCTCAAATCATTTTATCGGATTCCTGGAACAAGAGGAAAATGCCAATCGATAGATCACCAGTTAGACCCTGTTCGGATACACAGATTGATATGGATTTGGCGAGCGGATCAAATCAGGTTGGATCAGAAAATATTAATATTTTACCTTCTCAAACTGGACATCAGGTGAGTGATCCTATGTTACAAATTCACTCAAATGAGTTTCGTTTATTAAAACTACCGACTTTCTGGCATAAACAACCTAAACTCTGGTTTGCTTCTATTGAAAGTGAGTTTACGGTTTATCGAATTCGATCAGATGATATTAAATATAGTTCTGTCATTCGTCATCTTGATGAACAAGCCTTAGTAAACATATCTGAAGTCATTGAAAATCCACCTGAAACAGATAAATATAATTATTTAAAGAAAATATTAATAAATCGCTTTACGGATTCAGAGGAAAAACGTTTGAGACAAATATTAGCTGGAATTGAACTTAATGATAAAAAGCCTTCGGAATTACTTCGAGAAATTCGTCATTTGTCTGGAGGATCTTTAGCAGATAGTGTTTTGCAAATGATTTGGCTTCAACGCTTACCACATAGAATTCAAACGACTTTAGCCGTAGTAGAGGATGTTCCTCTTGTTAAACTTGCGGAATTAGCCGATAAAATTGCTGATCGGGACGGCGGTTTGCAAGTCGCGGAAGTTTCCAATAATGCAAGTAATAAATCTTCGGATTTCGCGGATTTGCTACGAAGAATCGAAGCTCTTGAAGTTTCTCGTCGTCGAGATCGTTCCAAAAGCCGGTCTAGAGAGAATAGAAGATTTAGATCGTTATCGCGTAACAAAGACAAATCAAATAAAGATATTAAAGATACATCAATTTGTTTTTACCATAAGAAGTTTGGTGATAAGGCTAAACGATGTACTTTACCTTGTTCTATGTCCAAAACATTCTTGGCTTCACAGGAAAACTAAAAACGCCGCTTAAGACTGAGGCTGCTTACGACGGTGTTTCTAACAATCGCCTCATTATTTTCGACAGACATTCAAATTTGAATTTTCTTGTCGATACGGGCGCTGATATATCGTTGTTACCTAAAAAGGTTTTATTGAAGCCGTGGCATACTAATTTAAAACTTTTTGCCGCAAATGGTACTCAAATTAATACTTACGGTTCTAAAACTTTAATTTTGAACCTCGGTTTAAGGAGAGAATTCAAATGGAAATTTTGTGTCGCGGATATTCAACGTCCTATTTTAGGCGCCGATTTCCTTTGTCATTTTAATCTCCTAATTGACATTAAAAACAAGAAATTGATTGATAATGTTACCGGTCTTATGAATACTGGAAAAATTCAAGAAGTTGCACATTTGTCAATTTTTACCACATCTCCTGATTCTGTGTACCACAAATTTTTAACCGAATTTCCAGGACTCACCCGTTTTTCTCCAATTTCCTCGGTAAAAACACATGGTGTTGAACATCATATCGTTACGGAAGGTTCTCCTAAATTTTCGACTCCCAGAAGACTTACTCCTGAGAAACTTAAATGTGCCAAGGAAGAATTCAAGTCTATGATGGAGCAAGGAATTTGCAGGCCTTCAAGCAGCTCCTGGGCAGCCCCTCTACATATGGTACCTAAAAAGGAACAAAATTCTTGGAGACTGTGTGGTGATTATCGTGCACTCAATTCAGTGACTATCCCGGATCGTTATCCCTTACCTCATATTCAAGATTTTTCTTCTTCACTTTTTGGTAAGAATATCTTTTCTAAAATCGACTTAGTTAAAGCGTACTATCAAGTACCCGTCGCTAAAGAAGATATTCACAAAACAGCTGTCACTACTCCATTTGGGCTTTTTGAATTTGTCGTAATGCCTTTCGGTTTACGAAACGCAGCCCAAACTTTTCAACGGCTCATGAACTCTTTACTTAATGATTTGAGTTTTGCCTTTTGTTATCTTGATGACATTCTTATTGCTTCTAAAGATGAGAAAGAACATATTGCTCACTTACGCATTATTTTTGATCGTCTTCAACAAGCTGGAATGACAATCAATGTCGCTAAATGTCTTTTCGGTCAAAGCGAGATTTCTTTTCTTGGTTACTTAGTTTCTAACCAAGGAGTTAAACCTACATCCGAAAAAGTGAAATCAATTATTGATTATCCTAAACCTAAGACACTTCATGAATTACGCAGATTCTTAGGAATTATCAATTATTATCGTCGCTGTCTCAAGGATGCTGCAAATCATCAAGCTCTGTTAACAGAATATTTAAAGGACAGTCGCAAGAGGGATAGAAGAATTATTTCTTGGACTAAAGAAGCGGAATTAGCTTTCGAGTCATGTAAAGAAGAACTTTTACAAGTTACTACCCTTTCTCATCCTGCTCCTCATGCTCCTCTTATTTTAACTTGTGATGCTTCTGACTTTGCTGTTGGTGCATCACTTGAACAGTCTATTGACGACGATATCAAACCAATAGCATTTTTCTCAAAGAAACTAGACAAAGCTCAAAGAAATTATAGCACTTATGATAGAGAACTTCTTAGCATTTATTTGGCTATTAAACATTTCAGGCATTTTGTTGAAGGAAGACAATTGATTATCAGAACTGATCATAAACCTTTGATTTTTGCTTTCCGTCAGAAATTGGATAAAGCGTCACCAAGACAGATCAGACAATTGGACTTTATTGCTCAATTCTCTACAAATATTACCTATATTTCTGGAAAAATGAATTCAGTTGCTGATGCTCTGTCAAGAATTGAATCTATTTCAATGCCTATTATAGTTTCTTTAGAAGAACTTGCTAATTATCAGAAAGAAGATGAAGAACTTCAAGTTTTACTTTCTTCAAATTCTTCACTTCTGTTGAAGAAACTTATTCTTTCAGGATCAACCATACCTATTTATTGTGATTGCTCTTCGGAATTAATTCGTCCATATGTTCCTAAACTCTTACGCAAGAGAATTTTTGATGTTGTTCATGGACTCGCTCACCCCAGCGGCAGATTGACATCTAAACAATTACTACTGAAATTCATTTGGCCTTCTTTGAAGAAAGATGTGAAGGAATGGACTCGAACTTGTCTTCCATGTCAACGTGCGAAGATTTCAAGACACACCAAGAATTCTCCAATTAAGATTGCAATTCCTGATCAACGCTTTCAGCATGTGCATTTAGACATTGTTGGACCACTTCCTATTTGTCAAAATTACCGTTATTGTCTTACTATGATTGATCGTTTTTCCAGATGGCCTGAAGCTGTTCCTATTTCTGAGATTTCTGCTGAAACTATTTCTACAACATTTTATTCACATTGGGTAGCACGTTTTGGTTCTCCTATCAGCATTACAACAGATCAAGGTCCTCAGTTTGAAGCAGCTTTATTCAAAGCTTTAACAAACCTAATTGGATGCCAAAGGATTAGAACTTCTGCTTATCATCCTGCTTCAAATGGAATTCTGGAAAGATGGCATAGGACTTTGAAAGCAGCGATTATGTGCCACGAAACAACCAACTGGGTAGAATCTTTACCTTCAGTTCTTTTGGGATTACGTTCGTGTTTCAAAGAAGATTTAAAAGCTTCACCTGCAGAACTTCTTTATGGATCCACTCTTCGTATTCCTGGAGAATTTTTCATTGAAGAAGATTTTCCTGCAGATCCTGAAATCTTTCTTGAAAAACACAGGATTCATATGAGGAATATCAGATCATCTCCTACAAGTCATCATTGCAAAAGATCACCTTTTGTTCACAAGAATCTTTTTGATTGTACTCATGTTTGGATTCGAGAAGATACTGTTAGGAAGTCACTACAACCTCCTTATTCTGGCCCTTTTCCTATTGAGAAACGTATCTCTGATCATTTATTTGCAGTTAATGTTTCAGGAAGAGTTGTCAATATTTCGACAGAACGTCTCAAGCCAGCCTTCATTCCTAGAACTTCAGATTCTACTGAACTTTCTACCAGATCTTCAGCTCCTGTTCCTGCTATTTCAACTCCTGTTCCTGCTATTTCAACTCCTGTTCCTGCTACTTCAGCTCCTGTTCCTGCTACTTCAGCTCCTGTTTCTGCTACTTCAAATCCTTCTTCTTCTTCTACTGTTGGAAAAGCTTTACGCACCTACCCACCAAAGAAGAAGAAAGTCCATTTCGCAACGAATATCGTCACTTGGGGGGGAGTACTGTAGCATTCATCATCCACACCTTTCATTTACACTCTACACTTTTATTACACCTTACACTTTTCACTGCACTTTTACACTTTTTACATCTTTATACATTTGTAATAACTTCAATTCATTAATATACATAATGTTTTTAAGAAAAATCAATATTTCCATAACAACACATTCATTCATTTATTTGTTACATATTAATTCTTTTTGTTCTTTCGCTTTATACTTTCAATGAATAAACATTACTTTTTCAAAGATCTGGTGAATTTATTTATAAGTCGCTACAGTGGGGCAGGCGCGCCGGCGCGGCGAGATTCACGTGATGATCGCGTGTAATTTGAATCGATCAGCTGAGCCGCGGAAACACGTGGTGATCGCGTGGAATGTGATGATCAGCTGAGACAGTAACGAGTGTGTGTTTGATGTGAAATGACGAACGTGTAGTGCAGTGTGGTGATTATGGAACAATTGCAAGTGCGGTGGTGCATGATGAGAATGAGGTGTGACAAATGATACAGTGCATGATGTGATAAATCTCGTGAATGAGTGTCGAACGTTGATGAGTGATGTGTTACGTGCCGGCGGACGGCGTGTCCGCGTTATTCGCGTCCGGAATACGATCCGCGCCCGGGAGCATGACCAATTTAACGATCGGGCGTACGAATTCGGATGTGGCGGTGCGTACTGAGACCACGCGGACGACACCGTCGTCCCCGGGATGCAGTCTCGTGATCCTTGCAAGAGGCCATCGAGTCGGAGGGGTGAGCTCCGAGCGGATGATGCAAAGGTCCCCGACGTGAGGTGCGGCCTCGGCCTTGACCCATTTGGTGCGGGGGTTGAGCCCGTGCACGTACTCAGCCGACCACCGTTGCCAAAAATGGTCTCGCATCAGCTGCAGGTGATGCCAGCCTGACAGCGTGGATGATGATTGTCCGATCCGTGACGGCTCAGGTATAGCTAATAGAGGCGCGCCGATGATGAAGTGCCCTGGAGTGAGTGCTGAAGTGTCGTCTGGATCGTCTGACAGAGCTTGCAACGGACGAGAATTAAGGCGGAGGTGAAATTTCGTGGATTTCACGGCAGCCTCCCAAAGACCACCGAAGTGAGGGGCCGCTGGCGGATTAAAATGCCAGCGGATCCCTTGAGTGTTGGCGGCGCGGGCGATGTGAAGGCCCTCGGAGGTCGACGCCTTGAAGAGCTCCCGCAGGGTGCGATCGGCGCCAACGAATGTTGTGCCGCAGTCGCTGTAGACGTCCGTACACAGTCCTCTGCGAGAGACGAAGCGGCGTAAGGCGGCGATGAAGGCCTCGGAGCTGTAATCCGAGACGACCTCGAGGTGGATGGCCTTCGACCAAAAGCAGACGAAGACCGCGATGTATCCTTTCTGTGAGCGGTGTCCGCGTCCCTTGCTGGTCCGGATGGAAATTGGTCCCGCGTAGTCCAGTCCAGTGCTCAAGAAAGGTCGAGTTGGCGTCACTCGGTCCCGAGGAAGGTGGCCCATTGGAGGCTGTGGCGTGGCAGCGCGCCAGCGAGTGCAAGTGACGCACCGATGCAGTTGCTGCTTGACGACGGTCCTTCCGCGTGGTACCCAGAATCGAAGGCGAAGCAGACCGAGTGTCATCTGGACGCCGCCGTGCAGAGAGCGACGATGGCAGGACTCGATCAGCAGTCGCGTCATCCAGGAGGCCGGCGGTATGATCACCGGGTGCTTCTCGTCGTAGGGCAGCAGTGCGTGTTTGAGACGTCCTCCAACGCGCAGTACACCTTGGTCGTCGATGAACGGATTCAGCTTGATCAGTGAACTGCGTGGTGGGCCGGAGCGTCCTGCGGTGGCAGCAGCTATCTCGTCCGGGAAGTGGAGCGCCTGTACTACTCGAAGCCACTGGAGTAGGGCGGCGTCCAGCTCGTCGGGGTGTAGTGGACAACCAGGTGTGACCTCCCGGCTCGCCACGTTGAGCCATCGACGACACCAAGCCGTAACGCGTAGCAGCCGATGAAGCGCAGAGAACCGAAGAAGGATGTCCGGTTCGACGACGACGGAGCCCTTGGTCATCAGGCTGGTGGTGCGCTGTTCAGGAAGGTCATCCTCTGCGATGTGGACCTCTGAGCTGGGCCATGCTGTCTCGTCCAGTGCCAACCAGGTAGGTCCAGTCCACCATAATGCGTGGTTGATTAATTCTCCAGGAGTAATTCCTCTCGATGCGCAGTCTGCAGGATTATTCTTCCCGGCTACGTGTCTCCATCGAGCGTCCGGGAGCTGTGTCTGGATATGAGCTACCCGGTTGGCGACGAAAGTTTTCCAGCGAGTGGCGTGTCCCTGGATCCAATGAAGCGTGACCTGGGAATCGGACCACAGATATACTGGAGTAGTTGCCAAGCCGAGAATGTCGCGGACATGCAGCGTGAGCGTGGTGAGTAGGCTAGCAGCGCACAACTCAAGTCGCGGCAACGAAACCTGCTTGACGGGTGCGACCTTGGATTTCGCCATGAGTAGATTAATTGACGGTTTTCCCCTTTCAGTGGTGCGGAGGTAGACTACTGCGGCGTATCCTCGTTCGGAAGCATCAGCAAAACCGTGGAGCTGCAACCTCGAGTGATCGTTGTCGGTGCTGAGCCAGCGATTCACGCGTATGTGCCTGAGCAGCGGCAACTGATCCAACAGCTGTTGCCAATGTCGAGCATCCTTGGCCGGCAGTGGAGCGTCCCAATCAAGTTGCTGAAGCCAGGTGCTTTGGATTAGGATCTTCGCCCGAATGACGACAGGCGCGAGCCAGCCCATCGGGTCGAATAGGCGTGCAGTTTCGGAGAGGACTCGTCGCTTCGTGAATTTGCTGACTGGCCGAGGATGTATTGCGAAGGCAAACCGGTCATCTTGAGGACGCCATCGCAGGCCCAATGTCGAATGGCTCTCTCCTTCCCAGGAATGTGGTCCTTGCTGCAGCCGATGCTCCTGTGGGACTCCTGTGAGGACCTCTGGATGGTTCGAGGCCCACTTCCTCAGTGGAAATCCGCCCGCCATGCAGAGGTTGCGCAGCTCCGTCTGGAGGTTGACGGCATCGTCGAGGTTGTCCGCGCCGGTGACCACGTCGTCGACGTAGCAATCAAGCCGAAGTACTGTGGCACCTTGAGGAAACTGCGCTCCCTCGTCCGCACAAAGTTGTTGCAGAGTTCGGATGGCCAGGAACGGTGCACACGCCATGCCGTAGGTCACCGTCTGCAGCTCGTACTCTCCGATCTCGTCCGTCTTGTTGTGACGCCACAAGATTGTTTGGAGACGGCAGTCCTCAGGATGTACGAGGATTTGGCGGTACATCTTCTCGATGTCGGTGACGAAGACGTACCGGTGCCAACGCCATCGCAGCAACACGTCGGTGAGCGCTGGCAGAAGGTTTGCCCCAGTCAGCAGCTGCGAGTTGAGCGAAGTACCGGCCCGTGTGCGCTGAGAGCCGTTGAACACGACTCGGAGCTTTGTCGTCGTGCTCGATTCCTTCAGGACCCCGTGATGCGGTAAGTAGCATCTGAAATTCTCCGTTGTTGTTGAGGTATTTACCTTCTTCATGTGTTGCAGGTCCTCGTATTCCTGCATGAAGCCGTGATAGAGGTCGCCAAATCGAAGATCTCGGCTGCCCTTGGTCTCCATGGCTTTCAGTAGGTGCTCCGCTGGGCGGCGAGTATCCTGAAGAGTCGTCGGCGGCGATGAGAAGGGCAGCCTCACCATGTATCTCCCGGTGGGCGTGCGCGTGACGGTGCGCACGTAGAGTTCCTCGCACGTGGTCTCGTCGGGAGTGAGTGAAGCCCGAGTTATCGGCTCGCTCTCCTGCTCCCAGAAGCGTCGAACGAAGTCGGCGAGGTCATGATCGGCGGTGCACCGGAAGGTGCGGCGATGTCCCTTGACTGCTGCTGCGTCGTAGCCGCCAGAAAGGATCCATCCCAGGCTGGTTTGCTGAGCGATCGGCATCCTTGATTCACCCTTGCGGAGGCCTTCCTCGAGGATCAAGGAATAGACCTCGGCTCCCAGTAGCAGCTCAGCTGGGTCGTCGTCTAAGAAGCGAGGATCGGCCAGTTGGAGTCCGTTGAGATGAGGCCAGCTGCGTTCTTCCCGCGAGACCGAGCCTTGCTGCAGCGATATGCGGGGCAGCACAAAGGCCACCACGCTGAGTTTGGCGTTGGTCACGTCTGACGTTACGTGCAGCGTGACCTTGCCACGAGCGGATCCCGAGCGAGTCCCTCCGATGCCGAAAATGGAGAGGCCCGTTGAGACTCGAGGAAGGCGAAGACGTTGTGCCAAGGTCTCCGAAATGATCGACACCTCAGAACATTGGTCGATCAAAGCGCGTACGGCTTGTGGTGATCCGTACCGATCGGCGACGTTTATTCGTGCTGTTGCAAGAAGAACGGCCTTGCACTCTGGATTTTGCAGCGTAGCGGTCAGTGTGGTGGCGCGTGTGGCTTCAGTTGACGCTGACGATGTGGGTGCTCCGTGTAACATCGTGTGGTGTCGTGCGTCGCATGTCAGACAGTTCTTCTTTGACTGGCAGCGAGAGAGAAAATGGTTGCCTAAGCAATTGTAACAGAGCCTGTTACTCTCGACAAATGCCTTGCGGTCGTTGACAGTCTTGGCCTTGAAATCTCGGCAGGTCATCAAGGTGTGCTTCTCGCGACACAGTGCACAGTGCGGCGACTCGGTTCCTTGGTGCTTCGTGACGTGTGCCTTGGCTACCCGTGGAGCATCTCCGGGCGGTTTGCTGGCGCTCTTCGGTCGTGCGGCATTGAGCGTCAGGATCCGGCGGCTGATGAAGTCCACAAGTGCCTCGTTTTGTGCCGGCTCTGATGAGTCTGACGTGGACGACTCCCACTCAAGACGTGTGCGTGCATCAAACAGCTCGGTGACCAGGAAGTTGAAGAGGTCCATTCCGTGGGTGTTGATTGGACGTCCGATGCTCTCCTGACCATTGACGGCGGCAGTAACGGCGTTGTGAATGCGTCTCAATTCTTCTGCGGTATCTCCCTTCATCTTCGGCACGGCGATGAACGTGGCGAAGTTGGAGCGGATCAATTCTTTTTTGTTGTTGTAGTGTTTGTCCAGAATCGCCCAAGCGCGATCGTAATTGTCGCTGGTGACAGGCAATGACCTTATTAACCTTTCAGCTTGCCCCGTCAGACATGAGCGCAGGTGGTGAAAGCGCTCGATGTTGGAGATCGCATTGCCACTCACGACGGAGAGAAAGAGATCTCGGAACGACGGCCAATCGGCGTAGGCACCAGAAAATGGCGGCACTTTGATACGCGGCAGTGATGACCTTGACGTGGCGTCGGCCGAAGGAGGTACGTTTGCTGCACGATAGTGTTCAGCGTAGCTGTCTAGTATGCTTCTTTGTGACACGTAGAGATTCTCCGTATCAGCATGCAACTCTGATTTAAAGTACTCGCTCTCACTGAATCTTTCCTTCAAGGCCGCACGGATAAGGTCATGCTGCGCCTCGAACTTTGTCCACAGCTGATCCAGAATTCTGGTGCGGGTGGAGATAGCACTGGCGGTGATATTGGAGCTGCCCAGCTTCTTCAAGTACTCCACAGAACGTGAGATGCGGACTTGAAGCTCGCGCTGACAGTCAACCAGTGTGGGTACATCCATGATGACTGCACACGAAACTGCACTATTGTCACTCACGCGTGAAGTCACGCTCGCGAACTTGCGGATGCCGGTGCGACGTATCCGGCTCGAAGGACCAGAAAATATGTTCACGAACGCGCTGCGTGAGCAAAGGATCGCGCTGCACGAAAGGATGAGTCACTTTTTTGTAAAACAAGGACTTTAATAATATCACACACGTATTGACAAAATACTATAACAAACTTATTACAAAACTTTAATTATTTTACAGTGAAATCGGAATCAAAATCAAAGTGCGGAATAGCGGCGGTCGTCAACGAATTTTGCGGTGTATCTGATAAGCGGTTTGCGATATGTTTTCACGACGGAAAAGCGATAAAGCTCACAAGCGGGGTGTGAGCTCCTCTTTTATAATTTCCGGAGCGGAACCCACCTTCGTGTGAAGCGCCAATAATTTTGCGTCTTTTTAAAGTTGCGCGAGGTGACCTGAGCGTATTACGCGTAATTGGCCGCTGTCAAAATTGACAGAACAACGGCTGTTAGAAAGCATGCGCGAGCTGGCGATCACGATGATTATTGGCGAAACGAGGCGCCCGTGAGAAGCCGCGCATGCTCAATAAAATATAATTATTCGGCGGAACGGTTGCGACACCGTTAATTGTTTATATTTCGAGCGTGTTTTTGTACGACAGGATAATTTGTGTCGCGATATGTTTTCCAAAAAAAAACATATAAAAACGATATGCCTGTTGACTTGCGATCGGAAGCGAATATTCTAGAATATTCTATTTAAGATATAATATTTTATTACACATGTAGTTTTCTATTATGCGTTTCAAACACTATGTTATAACATACGTAAATTACGAGTTTAGTTTTTATTTATACAATTTATAATTTGAATTATTGATTAATTTTAATAATACACTTTTATATTACATATATTGTAATAATTTATTTATTTTTACGTACGTTCAATTTATCTGTTTCCTGCGATTCCGCCAAAACTCCGTGGTCCAGGGTCTTGGTCCGTAGTTGCGCGCGCAAACATCATACGTTACTGTAGTCGTCATGGTTACGTCACGGTAATACGCACATGCGCGAAAAAACTTAGCCCGTCTAACAATACTGGAGCGGATACGCGACAATAACACCGCGGGACCACACCCGCGCCCCGGACCGCGCCGCGCCAACAACCAAACGTAAACACGACCGCGGGAACTTAAAGGGCCGTGCATTTAAAATTCCGAAATATGATGAAGACGTGAAATAATCGAGATATTATTTCTGCCGTGCGTAACACTCCTGTTAAATTATAATCAGCGAATCTGTTACAGTACCGATATCTAACTCCGACGCCGATACAGATACCGTCAACAGGACCCGCGCCGAGCAAAACTCACGCATTCATCTCATACACAGATACACACGTCATACTTTTATAAAATTATCCACGCCGTCACACATACAGCGATACATGCATTACGCGAACACATACACACACGCTTACACACAAACATCTACACACACACACACACACACTTGTAAATAGCACACACAGTAAACAGTTTGTTAAACCTACACCTCGTCGCACGCTTTTTGAATTTAACCCTTTCTCGAACCTTGTCGATCCCGATTGAGCGATCCGGCCGCACCGAGAAAGCAGTCCGTTATAAAGTTTGCCTATTTTTTTGACAATAGTTTTTTGATGCCTTAATTATTTTAAGGAGTGTATATAACTATTATGCAGACACGACAATAGTACTTTAAATTTTTATAAAGTATTACACATATAAAAGGCTAATAAGAGCAGAAGTAATATATTACGGTTATAAAAACTAATTTATTACATTTAATCAATATATACTGATAGAAACAATAAAGTTTAAATTAATATAAAATTATAAAAATAAACTCGAAAGTTAAAACAAATGAAAAAGCGAACGTTTTGATCCAATTTTTCGGATCTTCTAATAAGATCCGAAAGAACGACGTTCTACTGACATGAGGATTACACTAGCGTCACTTTTGTTACTGTTACAATTAAAATACTGTCACATCATAAATATATATAAGTTTTTATTAGCATATTTTTTTGATACCATTTGTTAGATTATTGTTTCATAACGCACTTGATTGTGAATCTTATAATTAGTAAGGTGTAATGAGAAAATTATTTTAATTTATAGAATGCGATTAATGTTTTATATTTTAACACCTACCAATCTCGTAGTCAGAAAACTAAAGAGGAGCGCTTCCCACAGTTACGTAAATGTGATGGATTAGTGAGAATCATCTTAGTGTTAATCTTACGACGTTTTATTTCGTTTATTGATGAAACCGCGTTTAAATATGTTTATTAGACTTTTATACGTTAAACATGAACTTTAGACTTTTGTGATTTTAATTTGCTTTGTGTACTGCGCTGAAGAATATCCGAAAAATTGGATCGAAACGTTCGCTTTTTCATTTGTTTTAACTTTCGAGTTTATTTTTATAATTTTATATTAATTTAAACTTTATTGTTTCTATCAGTATGTGACGACCCGTTTTGTCGTCACTAGAAGCCGCGCAAGCACGAGGCCGACCGTCCGCCCGCGCTCATATAAACGGCCCCTGTCGGGGCCACCACACATCGAACACGTGGGAATTTGCCTTTTCGCCCCACCCGACCGGACCGCCCCACTCCAAGCTAGTTGGAGGGGGCTGACCGACGGGTATATAAAGTGGCGCAGCCGAGACTTCGACACCAGTCCCGTCCTGGTCTCTTGAGCGTACTCAAGGACCACTCCTCACCTCCTAACCATCCCGGGCGACGAGCGTTCTCGTCGCGTAAGCCGAGCGTTCTCGGGCACCGGATCCTCTCCAAACATCACCCCGGCCGACGAGCGTTCTCGTCGGGCAGGCCGAGCGTCCTCGGTCACCGGATCCTCTCCGAACAACACCCCGGTCGACGAGCGTTCTCGTCGGGCAGGCCGAGCGTTCTCGGTCTCCGGATCCTCTCCGAACATCACCCCGGCCGACGAGCGTTCTCGTCGGGCAGGCCGAGCGTCCTCGGTCACCGGATCCTCTCCGAACAGCACCCCGGTCGACGAGCGTTCTCGTCGGGCAGGCCGAGCGTCCTCGGTCACCGGATCCTCTCCGAACAACACCCCGGTCGACGAGCGTTCTCGTCGGGCAGGCCGAGCATTCTCGGTCTCCGGATCCTCTCCGAACATCACCCCGGTCGACGAGCGTTCTCGTCGGGCAGGCCGAGCGTCCTCGGTCACCGGATCCTCTCCGAACAGCACCCCGGTCGACGAGCGTTCTCGTCGGGCAGGCCGAGCATTCTCGGTCTCCGGATCCTCTCCGAACATCACCCCGGTCGACGAGCGTTCTCGTCGGGCAGGCCGAGCGTCCTCGGTCACCGGATCCTCTCCAAACATCACCCCGGTCGACGAGCGTTCTCGTCGGGCAGGCCGAGCGTCCTCGGGCACCGGATCCACTCCAAACATCACCCCGGCCGACGAGCGTTCTCGTCGGGAAGGCCGAGTTTCCTCGGTCACCGGATCCTCCGAGAGCCACCGACATCTTGCGGAGCTCGCCCTTCTCAGGGCGCCCGAATCCAAGGCGGTTTACGGAGCTCGCCCTTTTTAGGGCGCTCGTATCCACGCCGCGTTGGGTAAATTTCGTCCGCCACGCTACTATCTTAGTTATAAGTCGTGTCCGCGTCCGTATGATTTGGTCGCGTTTCGTCCGTCGCGTTATTATTTGTAAACCTTTAGTTATAAGTCGTGCCCGCGTCCGTATGATTTGGTCGCGTTTCGTCCGTCGCGTTATCATTTGTAAACCTTAGTTATAAGACGTGTCCGCGTCCGTATGATTTGGTCGCGTTTCGTCCGTCGCGTTATTATTTGTAAACCTTAGTTATAAATCGTGTCCGCGTCCGTATAAGTTGGTCGCGGTCCGCACTTCCTGCGATTCTCCTCTGTACGCGTAGACTAGATAATAAGCCAACTCTTGCAGGGCGGCTTCAATAAACTCTGTTTTTACCAGAACGATTGGCGTGGTTATTGCGAACCTGAGTCTCCCCCCTCTTCCCGAATCCTGGCACCGACGAGCCGATCCGTGGCGTCGGGAAAGGAGCCCCGTTACATGGCGCCCGAACAGGGACCTGACTCGACCGTCTGAGACTCCGGTTCGCAATCCATATGCTCGGGTGGATTTACCACCTAGACAAAGAGAAAGCCGCCCGTTATCTCGCCGACCGCGACCTCGACCCGGAAGGGAGATTAGTCGACCTCCGCCGCCGCATCAGAAACCACGTGATGGCTACCCACGCCGACACCGGAGCGTCCGTAACACTCCAAGTACCCAGCCGCGAAGACCGTTATCGGAGTGCACGAGGAACCCCCGAACCACCCGAAGCCGACCCGGCGAAGGCCCTTAACCAGATACGCAAGTGGGGCTGCCATTTCGAGGGTAAAGACCCCCTCGCGTTCCTCGAGCATCTAGAGGAACTCAGTGTGGCCTATGGTCTGGAAGACCACCATCTCTTAATCGGGCTAGCCGAGCTGCTAAAAGGCGAGGCCCTCCTGTGGTGGAGGAACACCAGAGAACAGTGGTCCACCTGGACCGAATTCCGAAAAGATTTCCTCGCCCAATACCTGTCGCCCGGGTATAAGCGACAATTGCGGCGAGAAATACAAGGCCGGCGACAAAAGCCAGGGGAGGCTTTTACTCGATACGCCACCGCCGTGCAAACCATGATGCGTCGGGCCGGCGGTTACACCCGCAGGGACCAGCTCGAACAGCTGTACGAAAACGCTGACCCAGAGCTCCAGCTATACATTCGGTTAGACGAACTGCACACCGTCTCCGAACTATGTAGCCGCGCCGCTGAGTGGGAGGAGATCCACCGGCGCCGTCAAGAACAACGTCGCGAGGTCTCCAGATCTACCGAGGCAAACCTCGCTGCAGCCACATATGACCGCTCGAACTGCTGCTGGCGGTGCAAGCAGCGAGGACACACCCGACTCGAT